GGCACTTTTTATCTTAAACACAGAATGAATTCATTTAAATTTACCCATCAGGTCTACATGATTCATAAACGTTCAAGAGCTCCTTTAACCGCTTTGGGTTTCCTGATATACACAGATTATACTGGTCCTAAGAAATGGCAGTTCATTTCTCAGTATTAGATCTGCTTCAAAGAAACTTGCACCTGCTTTTGCTTCCAATATTATCTCTTTACCTGATCCAACACACACGCTGTTGTTCTTCTCTAACTTTTTTCCCCTCCACCTTCCATCTTTTACAATGTAGAGATATGTTGCTTTTATCCAACTGTGTTTCCAGTTCTGAACCAATTACACAGTTACTTCATAACTGCACAGCTCTCTCTAAATCGCATTCCTCCTTGGAAGGAAAAGGATAACAAGCAGCTCATCTCATGAAGCAGTTATGGAGGATTATTGCTGTGTAAAGAATGTATCATCATCAATAGTAACTGTCGCTATTATTACTCACAATGAGCTATTTTAGTGATGTGGTAAATGGTATAGGATTTAGACTAAGACATCTTTATTTTTGGAAGTCTCTTTCTGTGGATTTAAATCATAAAAATATATTCTTATGGTTTTACTAAGAATGCAGAATAATGTGTTCATGCCACTTTCATAAATGTGTATTATTGTATGTTCCTTGTCTTTACTGCATGTCCACCTATTCCTATTTGTCCCCTTCTGTTTTCATGACCTGTGTGTATATACATGTGCGAGTGCATCTATGTTTCAACTATGAGGAGAACATGTGGGGCTTGTCCTTCTTTGTCTCTTCCATTATCCATTCCTCCCCCCTTATACTTTTTTCTTTCCTCATAAATAGTTCTCATTCTACCTCTCTGTCATGCATACCATATCTATAAAAAGGTAGGCATATGTATACTACATACCACATATGAGAAGAAGCAGGAGATATTCCTCTTATTTCATGTAACAAGATGATCTACAGGTCCATCCATTGTCTTGTAAATGACAATAGCTCATTCTTCTCTGTGCTGACTAGAACTCCATTCGATCTATGAACTGTTGTCTTTGCCCATCTTCCGTTGGTGAGCATCCAGGATGATTCCACAGCTCGATTGTTGTGAAGAGCACTGCAATAAATTTGGGTATGCAGGTGTCTCTGTGATAATCTGACTTAGAATCCTTCAGTTATATGTTATTTGGGGTAAATGTAGAAACACTGAATCAATGAAAGGAATGGGAGAGGAAAGGGAAAAAAGAAACTTAACTTTTAAAAAGGAAAAGAGGAAGGGAGGAGAATGTTATGAAATTGAAAGAGCAAGAAATAAAAAGTACGATTGTTCAGTAATGAAAATATGTATAAAGTAAATTAGGTAAATGTAAGAAGTGGAAGGAAACAATCAAAATAGCAAAGGTGTAATTGAAAGTAACAAAGGGAAACGAAGGGTAAACTCGAAGAAATGATGTGCTGTAGTTCCTTCTTTCTAGATGTTCAGAAGTTGGAGCTTTCCAAGTGGATGGGGTGTGTCAGTTAAATTTCAACACTCTCATCTGTCCACTGATGGAGGCTAGTGCCAAGCCTATAACAGAAAACCAGCAGATGGCTCAGGGGACTGCATTCACTCTAGTAAAGTCCCTTTGTTCATACAAGGAGCAAGCTATCATCAGGTCAAACTCTGTTTAAGAATTCTGCTATTTTAATAAGTCATTGAATTAGCTATCATTGTAGTAAAAGTATTTGAAATAATGAATGGAATAAGCTGGGAGTGGTGGCACACGCCTTTAGTTCCAGCACTCGAGAGGCAGAGGCAGGCAGATCTCTGTGAGTTTGAGTCCAGCCTGGTCTACATAGGGAGCTGCAACCAGTTGAGGCTACAAGGAGACTCTGTCTCAGAAAGACCAACCCCCCCAAAAAAAAAAACAAAAAAAAAATTAATGGGATAATTAGATGTAGATTTAGAGATATTTGCTTCTCAGAAACCTGCAAAAAGTGGAAATTATATCCATTTCTTTTTATTATTTCATTTTTCATTTGTTTTGTTTCTGATTTTTTGAAATGAGATCTCTCAGTATCCCCAGCTGACCCAGAACTCACTATCTACCAGACTGGCTGAGATCTCTCAGAGATCTGCTTGTCTCTGCCTCCTGTGTACTGGGATTATAGTTGTGCACCACCAACCCTGGTCTCATTTATTATACCTTAAATACTGGTTTCAGGACATGAGCTAGGTGTACAGAATTGAGAATTGCATAAAGTGGATGCTGTCTTATAGTATGTCAGCCAAACTCAGTATCCAGTTGAAGGAGCTTCAGTGAAATAATCAGGGACCAGGTAAACAATAAAACAATGATCATAAAAAAATAAAGTCCATTGTTTTTGGTACTGAGATGTTGGCACATGTGTCTCTAATCTGTGTGTATCTGATTATTACCAGTCATAATCAGTTGCACTCGGATCCTTGGCACCTGTGTATGTCTATAAAGTCACTGGGTAGATTTCAATGGTAATGTTTATCACCTCTACTAATTAATATGATGTAAACTTTTATTCTTCCTCCTCAAATATAATTCATTTTTAAAAATTTGTTGATTTTGTGTCTGTGTGTGTGTATATCACACATAACATCCCAAACCATCTTATTCAACTATACACTCACTTCCCAGATGGCACCCTCCCATAGCCTCCCTCCCCCCACTAGAGCCCCTATACTCTGATATCCCTGCTACTTTCTCCTGTGTTGTCGGCACCCCAGCCGTTCCCCACTACTTGTCCATCTGGTGAATCTAGTCAGCTTATCTAGAGGTCTTTGTTTTAGGAAGTTCAGCTGTTCCTCATCTAGCGGTAATCAGTTGTCAATATTCCTTTAGATAAGATTGGGGTCTGCTGTTCATTTTCCAAATTCTATGCTGGGTTACTCTCTGGGAGTCCCTTGGGCCACCTGGCCAACAACTCAACAACTCAGAAGAAGGTATCTCCTATCTAGCTTTGGTGCTTGTTATGTAGCCTTTAGCTATACATATGGACTCTTAAAACATTATATTGGCCCCTTTAACCTTTGGTTATACTTTCCTTTTGGATGTTTAAGGCCATACAGTTATTTTAAAATGAAATGGAAATATTTTTTAAAGGTTAAAACCTCATTCAATTTTATGTCTTACAGGCTTACACTGAGTTCAATATTGTATAATTGTATTAATTCAACAGCGAACCTAAAAATTTTGTAGCCACTTTTGAAAGAGATGTATCTTTGCTCTGAAAACTGTTATTGAGTATGTTAAAGTTGTAATGATATGCTTCTTCTAAAAAAATAAAAAAGAATATTAAAAAATAAAATAAAGTCCATACTGATGCAATAGAGTGAATGAAGGAAGGAAGGAAGAAATGGAGGAGAGGTAGAGTAAGGGCTCTTATTTAAAATATTATCTATATTCTATGTGTATTAGTGTACTGCCCGCATGTATATAAGTGCATGCAATGCACAAGGAGTTCAGAAGAAGGTGTCAGATCCCCTGGAACTGGAGTTACAGACAGTTGTTAGCTACCATGTGGGGACTTAGAATCGAACCTGGGTCCCCTCCAAGAAAAACCAGTGCTCTTCGCTGCTGAGACATCTCTCCAGACCCACATCCTTTAATGCTAGCACTCCGGAGGCAGAGGCAAGCAGGTCTCTGTGAGATACTTGTTAGCCTGGTCTACATAGTGAGTTCCAGTCCAGCTGTTGCTATAGGGAGATCTCTTCTGTTCTTGCCTGTATCATGGTCCCCCAAACATAGCTCCTTCAGCTTTCATATCTCAGATGTGTGTGGTTTAAATTTAAAATCTCCATTTGAACAGAAAACATGCTCTATTTTGCCATTCTTCCCCCGATTACTCTTCTGTTTTCTTTTTGCCTGTAAACCTCTTCGTTCCTCATGGGCACTTTTCTATTTTCATGTATATATTGAGACACATTTACACATATGTCTTTAAATGTAGTTCTCACACTGCTGAGGAACTCCAGAGACTCTTTCAGCTTCAGACACCCTGACCAAGTTTGTTTTGCTAACTGTACAGTCTTTGTGACTTGGAATATGTGCCACAACAGGTCCCATGATCTCCAAGCATTCTTTCTGGGCTTCCAGCACAGCCCTTGCTCTGAGGTATGCTGGAGGCTAATTAGGAGGCCAGTGCCTGGAAGAGTGCACTGAGTGTCTCTTCCTAAGTGTCTTCTAGCTTGAGCGTCTCTTCCTTCCCATGCCAGACTCTGCTAAGGACACAGTTTCCAGATAGATCTAGACTACAGCTACGGACCTTTGTGGCTGCCACCCCGCTGAGGGAATTATGTTTTTCTGTTTTTAAAAGCAAATTCTGAGCCCCACTCCAGAGGGACTGTGTGGCTGAATACCTTCCATTCTATAACCAAGGATGGCACAGTATCAATTCTGTGACCTTCTTACCCAATAAGTACGGGAATGATTTCAAACAAATGTTGGAGAAACATCAGAAAAGCAAAAATGGAGGGCTAATCTACAAAATGCCCGGCTTTTACCCTTCTAAAGTGTAAAAGTAAGGAGACCTACTGAAGATGAGAGGAAGCTGAAGAGACACAGGCAGGACGGAATCTGGATTAGACGGTGCAGCGCTAAAAGGACATCAGTAGAAAGATGATCCAAAAGAGCGGTGATGTGGGAAGGTTCCTAGAAGTACTGGAAAAACACGGAGTTTTAGTCTCAGTGTGGTGGTCATGTGGGATATTAGGGTTGGAGAAACTGGGAAGATATATATGGGAGCATGTTGAACCTAGTTTACAACTGTTGTGGGTATCTATTGATTTCAAAATTGAATTAGTTTTAAATAGAAGCAATGGGTCAACCCAAAGTGCAGCTTTAAAGGCATCTAGGTCTTTACAGAATATACAGGAAGAAGTTTCAAGGGTAGAAAATTTTAGTGAATATTATTGAGTTGAGATTAGTTAACTGAATAAGAATTGTTTTCCATTTTATCTTGTCCTTGTAGAAAAAAGAACACCCTGGACATGGCCTCAGGGAACAGCATGCCAGGCCCAGTGTGCCTCATTGAGAACTCTGATCAGAAGCTAGTGGTTAACCAGGAAGCCTTGGCGATCCTGTCTGCCATTCAGCAGCCTGTGGTGGTGGTAGCCATCGTAGGCCTCTACCGCACGGGCAAATCCTACCTGATGAACAAGCTGGCTGGGAAGAACACAGGTGAGTGCCACCAGCAGAGCTCTGTCCAGTGCCCTCTGTCTGCCCACATGTCAGCATCCAGTAAGAAGATGTGAAGAGAAAAAATTAGAGATATGGATGGATGTGGGTGGCTGTCTATCCACCAATGGATTCACTCTATGGAGAACTAGAGTCTACTCAGTGAGCTATCACACATTATGATTAGTTGCTCATCTAAATTATAAGTATCCATTTATGAAAGAAATAACACATTCATGGTAGAAGTTAGCTCATGATAAATTGTAAATAATTTGCCACATATTGATAATATTGATGTACAAAGACAAAGCTTTCTCTGAGCTCTAATATGGAAATGAATACATTTACCAGTATTTGATAGTCTAATTTCCCTATTTTATGCTAGTAATCAAATAAATATTTTCATGTAAATATTCAGCTAAGTTTTAGGAAATGTCCACTATTTCATCACTCCCTCCTCCCGTCTCTACTGTGCTTTGCAGGCTTCTCTATGGGCTCCACAGTGCAGAGGCACACGAAGGGGATATGGATGTGGTGTTTGCCTCATCCCAAGAAGTCAGACCACACCTTAGTTCTACTTGACACCGAGGGCCTGGGGGATACACAGAAGGTAAAATCTCCATCTTTCCAAATCTGCTCATGTCTGATCAGGGACCTGCCTTACACTCCTGACTCCCATTCCCTGACTTATGCTTCTGACTAATCAAATTAATGCACTATTTTCAACTCTCTTGAAGAAGAGATGATAATGGACACTAAGCTCAATCAAATAGCATTGGATCAGCCTTTCAAATCATAACAATATTTTAGTCACTTTTCTTTCATATCACAGCACAAAATTCAGGTGAGACTGTAACACATCCTAAATTGACAGTACATTTTACAAACATTCCTGGCTTTCATCGTGGGCCGATGGAGAGGATAAAAATGGTTATTTCCACACAGTACTGTAAATGAGAAGGAAAACATGAGATCTGTCCATACCTTTGTTCATTGAGTTTCATATTTCACTATTCTTTCCAATCTGAGACAAGCAAAACTCTTATCAAATGAGCTTGTTTTAACTAGTACTAAAATGTTCCTAACAATGGCATGTCCTGAGAATAGAATGGTTCACAAACTAAGGGTGCACCCGGTTTGAACTTTAGTAGGTGATCCAGTTATATTAAGTGCAAATGTCCTTCCTGCTCTCGTGCACGTGTTTGCACATGCCTTATTTAAATTATACAGCATGAATTGAATATTCATAGAATCACTTTACAGTTAGAATAATTATTGCAAATGAAAGGAACTTTTCGATGTAGACAAAGTAAAGGGGAGACAGAGCAAAGGCTCATCTTTGTCTCTCTGTGTTGATGGGCAGGCTTCTAGTCACTCTTCTTTATGGATTCTGCAGGGAGACAACCAGAATGACTGCTGGATCTTTGCCCTGGCAGTCCTCCTCAGCAGCACCTTCATCTATAACAGCATGAGAATCATTAACCAGTATGCCATGGATCAGCTGCAGTATCCTTTTAGTGTGGTTGAGAGCAAGAGTAAACCTACAAATAATAACTTTTATGAATCACAATCTTTACCAATATCTGTACGTTATTTTGTATTTCATTTACCAGTTTTTTTTTTCTATCTCCATCAGTACAATGTAAGCTCTATGATCGTGGCAAACTTTCCTTTATCTTGAAATTTAGTCCCTGGGATGGTGTCAGGTAGATAGAAGATGTTGAATAAACGTTTGTGACTGAATGACTTCTGAGAACAAGTAAGCTGATAATTCAAAGTCTGAAGAGGCATCGGCAGAATATACATCATAAAAGTAGCATTTTCCATGTAGCTTTCTTAATGTAGCATCTCAGCTATGTGACGAAGCTGACGGATCTAATCAAAGCAAAGTCCTCACCTGAGCAGAGTGAGGTAGATGACTCTGCGAACTTCGTAGGCTTCTTCCCAAACTTTGTGTGGGCTCTGAGGGATTTCTCCCTGGTTCTGGAAGTTAATGGACAGCGCATCACGGCTGATGAGTACCTCGAGAATTCACTACGTCTGAAAAAAGGTGAGTGGGCTTGATGCAGGGTTGGGATATAAGACAAAACAACATCATAATGGCCAGTATTGCATTGTTGGTAAAGACCAAAATTATAATTGTGTTACCTTGACTATTGTTATAGGAAATGAAACACTGCTTGGTAATATATCTGCAATTGCACCAATGCACTACTTCTTCTTTCCTATTTCCTTTATTTTATTTTTAACTTTTTCATGAATTATATGAGGGTTTCATGCAATATATTTTGCTCACAATCTGTCCCTCCTCCAATTCCTCCCTAATCTACATCTACCTCCCTAGAGACACAAATTAGAGAAGTTTTTTTGATCCCCGATCTGGTCCAGTTTGCGATGCCCAAATACACTTTTTTTTAAACAAATAATTTATTGAGAATTTCATACATTCATGTACGGTGTTTTGATCAAATCCATGCCCACTCCCTCCCCTCCAACTCCTCCTGTATCTCCCCATCTCTTTTTTTCTGATAACAACATTCCCTCCTCTGAAGACATAACCCTAAAATCTTTTAGAGATTAGATAAGAGCTCCCAAATACTTCTGACAGTTTTGGCCTTTGGAACAGTATGTTGCTAATAGGCCCAAGGACATTTTGACTTTTAGAAACTGGCTACTTTTCTTTGGGGTCTTTTTACCCTAACTGCCTAGCCAATTCCTACCTCCTATTCTTTTTTTTTTTTTTTTAATGTGTATGCGTGTATTGCCTGCATGTAGGTAAGTGCACCTGTGTCATGCAATGCCATGGAGGACAGAAGAGGCTGTCAGATCCCCTGGGACTGGAGTTACAGACAGTTGTAAGCTGCCATGTGGGTTCTGGGATTCGAACCCAGGTCTTCTGCAAGAACAACCAGTGTTCCTAACCTCTGAGCCATCTCTCCAGCCCCTGCTACCTCCTATTCTTATCACGCCATCCTCTGAAGAGGTTACCCAAATGGACAATAGGGAACCAGGACACAGACCACTCTGGCTTCTTCCATGCTGAACAAAGATGCACAGTGAGGCAGTCGGAGCACCCCTTCAGTGGGTCTATCCAAAGACTCCCAAACTGCATAACTCTTATCTGTAGGGGGAGAAGAAAGTCCTTGAACAGTGACTAGGAGATGTGAAGGAGAAGTAAAGTAAAGTAATTAGCATTACAAGTTCTAGACAGATAACTAGAAGAAAGTCAGAACTGGGCAATTTTCAGATGTTCATATGAGAGTCCATTGGAATTTCTTGACAAAGGCTTCCAAAAGCATCCCTCTATTGAGTTCTTCCTCATTTTCCTTTTGCTTCCAACGTTGGACTCTAGAGTGATGGATTCAGGATTTGCTTTCAGGTATTTTGAAAGCAGTTGGAGTGGTTAGAATCACTGTCAGTTCCCTCTCAAAGGCTTCTAGATAGGGGGAGAAAACAAATTTATCCATCATTTTAGAAGAATAGCTGCTTGTCTCCCTTAGCTACACATGGGCACTACAGTATTGGAGACCAAAATTTGAAGTCTTACATCTGAGCAGCACTTTCTGGTTAGGAACAAAATCATCAAAGAGAAATAATTGTCTAAATTACTTTTTATATAGACTTAAGCCTAATGTCTGAGAAGTGTAATCCCGCTAAGAAAAGAAATATACTGACAACTTTACTCTTTGTTTATACTTTCCTTTTGGGTGTTTAAGACCATACAGTTGGCCCAAATAAATCAATTTATTTTTATACTTATGGTCATTTGAAGATCTGTTCCTTGGGGGTCACATGAGCTTGGAGGAGCTTCTGGCTCGTTTCTTTTACCGTTTCCATCTATGTGAAGATAAGTCAAATGTCCTGCTCGACCATGTCTGGCTTCACCTGGAAGCATGAATGAGATGTTTCCTCTGAGTTGGCCTTCCTCTTTGTAGACTGGACACTGGTTCAAGTCCATCTGGTGGGGTCTCCATGACCTCCCTGAACAAGAAGACAAGTGACTCACCACAGTTATAGAACATTTTGAGAGATGTTCCATAATCCCCTGGAACTCAGTTGACCTTGGAGGGCAAAGGGCAAAAACTGTCCTTTAAGTCCCTCTGACCACATTAGTATAGGTCTCAAACTATGGCTGTTAAACATCCAATAAGGTTAGTTCTACCAATCTGGTACTTTTAATTATCATATTAATATTCTCACATAAACCTTGACTAGATATGTATTTTGTTCCTTAAACTAGTTGACTAAACTATGACCATAGAAAATTTAAGATTATGTGCATATTATTTTTGTCTCATCCTTATGTATTATAACAAACCCGAACAGACCTTCATCACTTGCTTAGACATTCTCATTTTTTTCTGTTTATTTTGCAAACTATCTCCATTCCCATATATCCTTTTAACATCTTTTACATTCTCATTTTCTTTTTTTTTTAAAAAATTATGAGACATGATAGCATTAACAAATAAATTTTCTATCTGTTGTGAGACTTCTTTTCCTGGGGATTTTAAGCAATGCTTATTCCCTTTTAAGATTCTAGTGTCAAGCCAATGTTTCATTAAAGTTTTACTGGGGAACCAATGAATTTATTGAGCATGCTTACCAAGACAACTAAGGGGTTGCTAAGGTATATGTATGACCTGAGCATATGCACACTGGAAAGCTTTTCCCCACCATGGATCATGCCTTCTCTTCCTAGCCTTCCCCAGATTGTATACTTTAGCCCTCCCCAAATTCAGGAGGCCATGTGTGATTAAGGCCAAATTACATACAGTTGGCTGGGAAGAGTGGCTGGATAATCCAGTGAGAGTCCAATAACCCTGCTTGGCCCTCTTTTAATGAATGAGCACAACCACCAACAAGCCAAGTTGTGATGATGTTTAGCGATCAGGCTCAGCTGAAGTTGTGATGATAGTAGTTATTTCAAGCAGAAGGGACTGTTGTATAGCATCATCTTATTAAAAGGACATGGAAATTAAAAGGATTTGGTGCTAGCAGCCACATATGAGGGAGAACATAGGTCGTTTGTTTTTCTGAGTCTGTATTACTTCACTTAGTATAACAGTTTCTAAATCTACCCATTTACCTGCAAATTTCATTATTTCATCTTTCTTTACTGCTGAATAGAACTCCATTGCGTAAATATGCCACATTTTTGTTAATCACTTGTCAGTTGAGGGACACTTAGGTTACTTCCATCTCTTAGCTATTGTGAAAAGAGCAGTAACAAACATGGTTGTACAAGTGTCTCTACAATAGGAGAGTCCTTTGAGTATATGCCAAGGAGTGGTATAACCGAGTCATATGGTAGGTTCATTTTTAGCTTTTTAAGAGTTCACACAGTTTTCCATAGAGGTTGCATGAGTTTGCAATCCCACTAGCAATGAATGAGTGTTCCCCTTTCTCCACATCCTCACCAGCATTTGGTATCATTTGTTCTCTTGATCCTAGGCAGTCTGATTAGGGTAAGGTGATACCTTAGGGTGGTTTTAATTTGCATTTCCCTAATTACTAATGATGTTGAACACTTTTTGAGATGTTTCTTAGCCATCTTTGTTTCTTCCTTTGAGAACTCTCTGTTTAGATCTTTAGCCCATCTTTTCACTGGGCCGTTTGGTTTCTCGACTCTGTTTTTTGAATTCTTTATATATTCTGGACGTTAAACCTCTGACAGATGTGTCACTGGTGAAGATTTTTTTTCCAATTCTGTAGATTTTCTCTTCAGTTTTTTGATTGTTTCTTTTGCTGTACAGAAACTTTCTAGTTTAATGAGGTCCCACTTGTTGATTGCTGACCTTAATTCCTAGGAACTTCTGTTTGATTTAGAAAATCCTTTCCTACACCTATATCTTGTAAGTTACTGCCAATATTTTCTTCTAATAGTTTCTGGATTTCCAGTTTCACATTGAGGTCTTTGATACATTTGGAGTTTTTCTTACAAGGTGAAAGATAAGGATCTAGTTTCATTCTTCTATGGGCAGAAGCACCTGTTGAACCATTTGCCAGCA